TACACACTGACTACACACTAACTGCACACTAACTACACACTAACTACACACTGACTACACACTAACTACACACTAACTACACACTAACTGCACACTAACTACACACTAACTGCACACTAACTACACACTAACTGCACACTAACTGCACACTAACTACACAAGACAACACACTATGTTCAGACTCCAAACACGCTAAATGTCGCAAATCTCTGCCGTCACTCCTAAAACTTCCCCCTTCCTAAACAACTAAATGTCATGTTGCCATATCATTTTTTGATTGGTCGACCAGGTTTCATTTTTCCACCAATAGGAAAGGCTGGAGGTTTTTTTTGGCGTTGTTTTTGCTCACAGGCTTTCGAGCGTTTTCCTTATAAAACGCAGTTTTTACCGTTTCTTCCGCAGTAAATATAAACAACGACAGTATTCAGGAAGAAAAACAAACATTGCAGATATTTTATCATAACTCTGGTTTTACGTGGCCGATCAACACAATTTAAAAACTGGTATAAAGTCCACACTTTCCCATCAGTTGTTCCGTCTGTCCTGCTCACATCTCCAATGGTTGTACACGTTGTCATTAACCTGGCTTCACTCCACATCAGCTGCTTTGCTCGCTAAAACTCCGGCACATGAGGACGCTGTCAGAGACTGTCAACCACGTTGATCAGCTGCGTATATACGAATGTGAATCGCATCATTGGCTGGACTATGGGATATGGTGGCATCGTTCTGATCCCATACAGGAGCAGCCAGTCACTGACTAACACTGCAGAACAGGATTGTTAAAGTTTTAATTTTAATTTCAATTCAGGTTAGATTTTTTTTTTCTGTGCGCAGAGACCTGAGTCACTAATGTAAAGGGGAAAGTTTGAAGGTGGTTTAATAGGTGAAGTTAAGCATTATCAAAAGAAATAAGTCGATTTTCAATTTAGAAAAGTGGAGACGATTGACTCCTATATGAAAAGTGAGGGTTTGTGTGGTGTGCATGAAGGTTAAACACACATTTGTGTTTTTCTGACAACCAAGAAGAAAATAGGTGAAATTAAGCAAAGACAGAGACCATCTGTTAAAAGATAAATAGTTTATGTGAGTCTCTCACATAGTATTTACCTTTACTCTATACACATTGTTTTGAACGTGATATACAATATGTCATCTTTTTTTTTTTTTTTACAATTTGACATAATGATTTTTCTTTTCAGCATGCACTTGCCAACAAAAGGCTCCACAAATACAGAATTACAAAAACGAGAATTATGCTCACAGTAAAACATACGAAACATGAACTTGGATCAAAAGCCTGACAGTTGGAGGACACGATGTAGAAGCACAGCATCAGACTACCAGGACTTTACAGGAAAGAGCAAAGTACTCCACAGTAAGACACAAAAATACATGTTCTGGTTTCAAAAAAATAAACACCTTTTTTTTCAAGTTATAACATCATCCTAGAAATACACAAAGAACGGTACCCCTTTGTCATTTCAAAGAGTGAAGCAGCGTGTGTACTACATGAGGAGGATGGTGGGTTCAGGGCGACACTGGAACAGCTAGCCTACAACTGTGCCGGTTGTGCCACTTTCAGATCTCGCCTGGCAGCTTCTCCAGCTGCTTTTTCACTCGTTTTCCTTCACCTTCCTGTTTTAACAGGCTCCTGAAATCACAGTGTGGATCGGTGCTTTTGTTTTTCGGGTGCTTATTGCGAATCCAATCTGATTGTGTGGGTATGTGGGATTGCTACGGTGCAGATGTAGCCATTCTAGAAGTCCCGCTGTATAACTTGGTAAACTTCTGCTACACGTTTGCTTCACCCCCACAAGGGGAAAGATCTGGAAGAATCAAGTTATTTTTGTTAGCCACCAGGAGTCATGAGGAATAGTCTGGTCAGAACAATTTGGTTTGTATAGAGATGAACGTCTGCAGCACTAACGCAGGGTAGAGAGGGGACTTCTACAACGGCACTGCATCACAGGGCAGCTCTGTCTCATTTCTGTTTGTGCTAAATGTACAAGAGTGACAGCATCGAGTCCACTCGCTGGTCTTCTCTGACCGGGCCTTTCAAGCTATAGACCTTACCCTGGATTGTTAGGACACGCACACACGCACGCACACACACAGTTACACACAGCAGCAATTAACCTACTGAAATTACAGAGAGAAACAAAAGCAGAGATGATCGTAATGTCACATTTGTTCAACGTTGCCTCTCTACACTGTATATACTCGGTGTGGAATTTCATATATGAACACACTCCTTGTTTTGAACACAAAGTGCCTCGACTGATGCGTCTCAATACATTTATTGCAAGGAGGGATATCACAGCAAGAAATATGATCGACTCAGAGTGTCAACGGCGCAACGTAGCAGCGAGCCGCCTCGTACCTGACTCGCTATATCAAAAGACAGATGTGTGGACAGAGCCACATGGCCCAGATGTGCTGTGTTGTTTTGTATTTACAGGAGCAGAATCTACGCACTAGATAGTCTCTTTTAAGGACGAGCCCAGTTTGCTTTCCTCTCCTTTTCAAAATAAGAATTTTTTGTGAGTCTTCCAGTCTGCTCACCGACAGCCTGTCAGTCAGTGGCTTTCGGGTGCGTCCTCATCCTTATTGTCCTGTAGGCGTGGCCTTATGGCTCCAAATGAGGTCTTCCCACTGCAATAGGTCCTCATACTGATGACAATTTATCCCACTGTTATTCAAATAGGAAATGAATTGTCTAAATAAAATATAAACACATGTCTGGATGAAAGAAATGCATCAGATCTCACCATGCACACGCTGTCTGTTTAAAAGTATATGCACAAAAATCAAAACAGTACAAAATTTTATTTCTAAAGGCTCGTCTGTGTGCTGGGGTCGTTCATGTAAGGCGTGAATCAATAACTAGGTGCAAAGACAAAGACAAGCTCCTCTTTCTGATAGTTTGACTTTTTGCCGAGCTACGTGGAAGATGCATCTAGTTGTGAGCCAGTTGCTTAGCAACCTCCTGCTACTTCTATAGACATACTGTAGTGATGGGCGAGGCACACTGCTGCATGGTTACGTCTGCTTCCCCACACCTGTTGGTACGCAGAGGCAGCTTATGCCTGTCATTGTCAAAAAGACTGATTAGCTTCACTTTCAACTGTGTAGTCTGGGGACATACATCTATTTATTTTTTGTGGACATTGTCTCATGAATAAAATGCTACCTGACTATGCCCCCCCCACACACACACACACACACACACTGAAAAATAGCCAAGAAAAGGGTGAGATGGCACCGCACCCTCATTCCTTTACCTTTCCACTATGGCGGTGCCTTTCTTCAAGCCATTAAGATAGAACGCTGCTCTCTGCTTGTGTAAAACCAGTAAAGACAACCTCTTTGCAGTTATCTGTGAGTAAACAACCAGAAACACAACAGATTTGGTGGCACTACGTCAGAGGGAAAAGAAAATTAGACACAGAGGAGGAGAAAGTTATTCAGAAATAGCAGCAAATGAGCAGAAAGCAAGGCCCAGCTGGGCTTCTGTGTTTTCAGTCTCCTCGGTGGATTGTTGCTGAAGCCAATGGCAAAATGAGACATGGTACGAGTCGGGTACGCCCTCCCTCGCCTAAATCCCAACATAACAACATTTTATAGAAACAACTCCAAGTCTGTTCTACAGATCCTCGAGCTCTCCTCCCCTCCTCTGTGCACGCTGCTTGAAGACGATGGTTACAGGATGATCCATGCAAAAACATGAGCAGGCCCAACAGCGGGTGAAAAGTGACTTGCCCCTCCTCTCCAACTCCAACCCAATTATAACACAGTTTACCATCAACAAAGTCACAGTTTGTGTGAGGTTAAAACAAAGTGACATCTCTCTTTCTTTTTCTGGAAGCACATCTATTTCAAGGTATCTAAATATAACAACATCTAATATCCCTGATTAATAAATGTCCTTTATTACACGTTATGGCTGCTACCTCTGAAGCCACCAGTAACAGTTTTTTTATTGCAAGACTCACATTATGATAATATCGAGCTAAAAGGTACATCAGGAGATGAATGTGAGCTAAGCAGATGTACCTCGAAGGAAAAGCGCAGAACTTGCTCAGGTTACTCGAGACATTTACACGATTCTTGGCTACGATGGTGGAGTACTTCTCCACTAGTCACAAGAACTAAACAGAGTTCGGATTTGATGCCAGAGGGATGTGGTTTGTTAGTGGAACGGATATGGGTTGGTTGGGGTCAAAGCGGTCCAGAGGTGGACATCTCACAGGATGGAAGGGATAGGGGAGCGAGAGCGGCGTAGCGGGCAGGGCGATCCATAGGGCGAGGTCACAGGAGACAGCCTCAGAGTGTTACCAGCCATGCCAGTCATGCCCGCTATGTTGTTTAAGCTCCGGGATTTCTCATAGCCTTCAGATGAGGGGGGCGACAAAGGTGGTGGTGGTGGAGGTGGTTGTGCAGGAACAGGACATGAACACACACAGGCAGGCAGGCAGGCAGGCAGGCAACGATCCAAATCCGAGCCAGCCGAGTGAACCGAGACAAGACAGGAGACAGGAGTGAGACATAGCAACAGTAGCATACTGTATGGTGAGTGCATGTACAGCACATTTCATGACACTGGCCATAAAGCATATTGAAATTCTTAGGCCTGGAGCTGCTTGACAGGAAGAAACAACCTGACTGGCTCAAAAGTGCTTCTTAAGATTGCTTAAAGTGCAAACTATCTATATTGTTGCTGAAGTAACTGAAATATGAAATCCATTACATCTACAACAAATACAAACAACACTGGATACACCGATAGCTGTTCACATCTTTAGTTCGTGCAGTAAATCGATGCATAATTAAATTAAATTCTCTTTATTTAAATCTTTGCCTACTCTGAAACAAAATAAGTTTGTGTGGCGACATTTTAAACCCGAGCTGTTCTTTATGCTGCATTCATGCTATGCTAGCAGGGAGTTACTGGTAGCCTTGTCGTCACAGCAGATGTTGAAAAGAAGGCTACTTTTATTGTTGAACAATGCACTACTATATCAATTTATTGCCCAATAATATTATATTTTCAGATGGCAAGAGAATCTCTATGCCACATCAAATCGTCTAAATGTTTTAAAATTGAGCGATGAAAAAGTGGAAGACTTTAAAGCCCCACCATGCACAGTATTCATGTTTTTCTCTTTAGGGTCCAAAAATGTAACAATGCCAGCAGTTTAGCATGTCAGAGTTGAATCTCACTTGTGTTTGCTGTTTGGCCAGCTGTGCTATTTATTTAAAACTTTTAAGATGAAATATTGAATTTCAACAGTACAAAATGCTGTCATTTAAAAAGATCAATATTCCTTTAAGTAGATTCTTAAGAAAACATTCTGCTTTAATGAACTTGTTCCTGCTTTGACCCACATCTGCAGATCTTGATACAGAAAAGAAAGCTCTGTGATTTGTTCTGCAGCATCTTGGACCACAGGTTTGCTAACTCGTGGATGGTCAGTGAACTAGTGAATTAGTCATGGTAAAGGTTATCTGTTTCTACTGGCGTGTGGCTGCTCCTCTCTATCAGCGGCAGCGACGTGTCCATAATTTCATCAGAGATGCCCCTCATAGCTGCACGACGTCACAGATGGCAGCTTTGGTGAAATTAAGTTGAAGAAAGAAGCTGCACAGCTATCTTTGGTTAGGGAGTCTGAGGTCAGTGATCAGGCCAGTGTTGGACGCACAACAGGAACATTCGTGGGATTTGTAGTCAGTCCTCTGATGCTGGGAATCTACTTCATTTCTCTTTCACTTTACTGACAATCTTTCCTCTGAAAAAGTGGTGCTTAGTTACTTAATGAAAAGTTGATATGGGACGGAAGAGTCAGCTTTTGATTTTGTTTATATTGTAGACAGTGTTTCTGTTTCTTGGTGCTTGTAATGAAAACTTAAACTAATAATAGAGCAGTCGTGCTACCCTGTAGTTAGCTAGGTAATTAGTAAGTAGCATATCTATTTTGGAAACTTTATGTGTTGCCATTTGAAGCTGTATGTATCTTGAAGTTCTTTGAACTTTGCAAGCCAGCGGAGCTCCTTCGTAATTGTATTTCTGTAACTTGCACAGCAAGCTCCACCCCTGAGAAATACCTCTGTGAACTCTGTCAGAGTCGTTTTAGCTAAATGAGAGATATTATAACTCTTTAACTTTAGGGCTGAAGAAAAAAACAGTCGTTCATGTTGTGGCACCAGTGACAGCATCATTAGTATTTTCTCCCATTAGAAATGGATAAAATTTCCAAGGAACGGTTAAAGTTAACAAGTGCACATATAAACCACCAATTCATATATTGAGCCACAATATGTAGCTTAACATGAACAACATGCATGTGTCTTAGATTATGTATCAAATGTTACTGTGTGTGTATGAATCCAGACACATACTGATAATGATGATAATCGACACACCTTAATTCAATCATCTTAACAACAACAGCTCAAACTTCTGAAAATGCTGCATGTGATGCACATCAGTAAATCTGCATTGGGTTCAAAATAACCAAACAAGCCACAGCAGCCAGCGCAGTAATGGAGCATGCCAATCGGCTGATGAGGAACAGCAAATGGAAATGTTGCCTCATTACCACTCTGCATACACCACCATTTGATTCACTGAGAGCATGGGTGCAAATTAAACTGGGGCTCTTTCAGAACGAGCCAAGCGAGCAGAACAAAAGAGAGCCTGGGTCTGAGCCAACAGGTAGCGGGAACAAGAAAGGAACCCATGTTTTATGCATTACCGTCAGTGTGGTGGCAACTGCAACCACGATGGATAAAAGGGACAGCTGCTCACCTGACTTCACTGAAAATCATGATGCGCTGTCGCTGAAGATGTGGACAGGTTAACCTGTTAGACTACTCCAGTAACCACCTCAAAGCCATCAGCAGTTGTTTTTTGTTGTTGTTGTTGTTGTTGTTTCTTTTGCTTAATGCAATGAAAAATAAGGCTCTGTTAGCAAGCCTAATGAATGATTTGCATTCATTAGAATTCTTGTATAATGGGTGCTTTAGCAAAATAATCAGTGGAACAGAAGCACTGATTTGCCTGCCATCCAATGAGTGCTAGGTGGCTTTACAGCAATAATATTAGGAGCCGGATATTCAGCTAGGCTCCTGGAGATGCAGCTACCTTCCCATACAAGGCAGTTAGCCAAGGCTTAAAACTTCCACTTTACTTTGCAGATTAACACAAGATTCATGTCTCTGCAGGTAAATAGAAGAAGCAATCTGAATGACATATGTTTCACATAGCATCCAAATGACATTTTGGTATGTTCTCTATTTAGCAGAGATAATCTGCATCTATCAAAAAAACTGCAGTCTGAACTAATCTCTGCTCTGCGAGCTGCTTGATTTATGTGCTTTGTTTCCTGTAGTGATGTGTCGGTCGCGAATGAAATGGCTCTTAGAGCCGGATCTTTGACGTGAACGACGCGAGCCGGCTCCTCATCGCAAGCCGTGGGTTTTTTTTTTCTTTCTTTCTCTCATCCTCTCTCTGGCACTTTTGTTCCACGTCACTCCGCACGCGAGCCTTGTGCTTTGCTGGGCAGAGGGGGGAGGGGCGATAATTAAACTCGCAGTAGCACAGGAACAGAGCGGGAGGGAGAGAGAGAGAGAGCCAGGGACAACAACGTCACATTAGAAAGGTATAGTAATCATCCACAACTATTTTCAGCTGTGGATGATAAAGGATTCAGAAGGTTTATTCATGCAGGTCCATATGACAGAGAATGTGCATGTTCTTTTTGTTTTCATATTTTAATTTATATTTAATTGTGTTGTGGTTTGCAGTGTTTTGTGTTGTTTCATTTTAAATTTGTTTAAAAGGAAAAAGCTGAAAATTTAAATAGTTAAAAGTTGAACTGTGAATAGTTGGTTTTTGTATTATATGATTTATTTATTACATTTTATGTGGAGTGAATAAATAAAAGTATATTTACGGTGGCTCCTACAGACAAAGCACATAAAAACTCAAAACACGTACAAAACACAACAGAGGTGCTCCAGGATGCTAGGGGGCAGTGTTGAGCTTTTGTTACCTCGTGGCTACACAAGCCAGCAAGTACCAACGACCGGATTTGGTGTGAGGTAGTAACAGGTAAATGAACATTTTTTTAATTATTTGAATATATATGAGTGCTTGTGTATAAATACACAAACACATATGCTTTCAATTGTGTAATTTAAGTGATCTAGTAGCTCTGTTTTGGAAGTTCAGTTAACACTAGAAATGTGTTTTGGATTTTGTACGTGCTTTGTCTCTAGGGGCCACCGCATATATTTATATGTAAACATGTATAAATAAAACCACTCTTTTTTTTACATTAGTAATTACTTTTGTGCATAATTTCATATTATTGTTAATAATTAATTAATTAAAGCAACAAAACAACCTGAAGAGCCGGTTCAGGGGGCGAACGAGCCGGCTCTTTTTAATGAGCCGAGCCGAAAGAGGCGGTTCTCTAAAAAGAGCCGGAAATCCCATCACTAGTTTCCTGACCTTTTCTGCCTTTGATATCATACAGAACAGCAACAACACTTTTAGGAAATTCAGCAGGTGTAACTTAACAATAACCTTTAGGCTGGGTCAAAGTGTTAGCAAGCCCTTTCTGAGTCTGACCTTTTCACAATGTACTGGCACAAGGTGACATGTGCTATGCAATTCAGGAGGGCAAGTCTGACAGCAAATAAAGATTAATTTTATTCCTGTAGTTTTATGAAAAACATTATTTCAGTCATGCAATCAGAGCTATTTCCAACTCATAATATTTGGGAAAGTGACTTCTTCAATTTTCTGCAAACTCAAATTTAAAGAACTGCTTTATTGGAACTGATGGTTTGCTAAATAATGTAAAAACCAAAGGTACAAGAGAAAAAGTTTAAGAAACTGATAAATAGTGTATTTATCAATTCTAACAGGAGCTGATAATGTAAGCTTCTCTTCCTAGCTAGCTTCAGTCTTTAGAAATAAATATTAGCTTTATGGCCAAGAGTTACAAACAGAAACTAAAACCTCGTCTCTTTCCTGCAGATCCTCTGATGATGATGTTTGGTAGGGCTCAGCCAGTACAGGATTTGTAAGAACGGTAGCCAGAGCTATAAGACTGATATCCATTGGTGATTTATACCCTACCCTATAAATATGTTTATGAGTTGACTAAAATCTTGTTCCTTAACCTTTTATCCTCTCTGACAGTGAAAAACTATTTGCTGGTGTATCATCACCTTACAGGCAGATGATGTACTTGGCAATTATTTTGCATTCTGTGGACGGACAGTGGACCAGTCCACAGCCAAAAAAGTAAGACATTGGGTCAGAAATGTATTCAACTGTTTCCAGGCAACCAGAAAACAGGAATAAATTGTGAAGAAAGCAACAGTTCTGAGTCAGCTGCCGGGATGCGTTTGCCCCTTAGAAAGGCCAAAAATGTTATGCAGTGTGTCTGTGGAGAGTCGCGACAGCACGTCAACAGGTTACGTTACCTGAGCTGACTAGGGCTGAACATAAAGCCTCCTCCCTTCCTGGGATGTTGGTGTGCCACTCACTAAGGACATGGATCAGCTGATGAGCATTTGGACAAGTATCTGTGATTTTAACAGTACCTTCTAAAATGATAGGCGGTTTATTCAGACCGGTGGTTCCAGGAAACTGAACTTTACTAATGATGACTGATGATTCAAACAACTAATCAGTAGCAGTGCACAACAGCAAGCGTGGATTTGACAATGATTTCCCAATAAACAACAGATCTGCATGCTTTTTAGAATACTTTTATAAAATCACATCACAATGTTCTAATTCGATGTTGAATTAAATGACATTAAAAAAGTGAAATTTTACATATCAGTTAAACTACCTGTCTTTCGTATCCCTCCGTCTGCAGGGCAGGTGTAATCACTGGCAGCAAGCAGGAAACAGGTCCCCCCACTCCGGCGGTCCTGTTCTCGGGTGCTGGACCTACGCATGGGAACCCTCTCCTCAGGAGACATGGTGAGGTCGCTGCCCCCGCTGCAGTCTACAGACAGAACTGAGAGAAAAATCCATTTGCACATCCATATTTGCTTTTGTTCATTCATGCAATTTACACCAAGCTGATGATTTTGTGGTACTTTTCCCTCATAGACATGACAACAGAAGAAGTTATCAAGCAATGAAACTACAATCCTCACGTCTGCCTTCAACAGAAAGAAACTACGATCTGAATCCATGGAATGATGACACTCTGTGGATTTCAAAGATTTCAAGAAATCTGTTTTTACTTTAACCTTGTGAAAAGATACAGGTGAGACTGATGTTTCCATTCTTACCCAAAAAGGAAAACCCTGCCAAACAGCATAATTCATAGAGCCAAAACCTGATGTCGTTTTTGCCTTGTCTATATAAAAGAGCTATGACTGTGCATTTGAGTGACATTTTCCATCCATTATTAGGAAGGAGATCAGGCTAATACATTCTTCTTAACGTGTAACTACATGCTCTGGCAGTCATAGAGCTCCTCTTTGGGGACTAAAGACACGTACTGACAGTTTCACAATTGGCCATGTCAATTTTTATGATTAAATATGTAATAAAATTGAAGGGCTGGTACATTTACGTGGTTCTAATAGTTTGTGGATGACAGTGGAGGTCCTTGGTATAGCAGTGTTTCCCTTTGCAGGAGAATCATATCAATTTTTTGGGGGGGATGGTGAAGATGAAAAAGTATCAAGATTAAATAACACCAGTGTGGAGCATTAGCAATTACCATAGCTACACAGATTTATACATCTGTGCCCTCAAACGTATTAGATTTTAAATCAAACAGTGAAGACGTGATTGGTGCAGACTTTAACTGAACGGGTGCAAAAACTGTATTATCTGTTCAGGAATTAGAGTCAATTGTTTGATATAGTCTTAATTTCAGATGCACCTTCATGGCTCCAATGAATTAACTCGCATATATGTTACCTGGACAGGTGAATTCTCTATATTTGATCCAAAGAGACATCAGTGCAAGGAGCCCCTCCCCCAAAAAAGCAAAACCAAAAACTGAAGGCACAACTTACAAACGAGTGGCAATTAAATAAAGACCTAGCAGAGTGTCTCAGTGGCGGAAATATACATTTAATGAGATCCATGGGCTCCAGACTTGAAAGGACTGTTTTGAATCCTTTCATTTAAAATTATGTTAGTTTGTCCAATTACTTTGAGCCTCTGACAATGGGAACTATGGCTGTGATTCATAAACAGTAAATGCAAACATTATTGTAAAACTCTTTGAATTAAAAGCTACAATTCTGTACGTTGATTACACTGTGATTGTTTGATTTAAAAACTGCAAAAATATGTAATTGTTCAGAACAAGTTGTATGATTTGGAAAAGAAATATGTGTGCCATTACCAACAACAGTTAACACAACAACATATTCTGATGTCATAGGGTTGGGGGTTGTATGAACTATCAGACTCAGTACAAAGCTGGTATCTATATGTCCTATCTAAAGGACACATGAGAGGAAAGTATCTTTGCAGCCTTAAATTCTAAATGACCTTTGAGAAAATCCGAGAGGTGACTATGGCAGAATGATTCTGTTTGTGCATCCAGTCAATGAATCATGAAATATTCTGCGGTTATTAAATGTAAGTTTCAGGGACTTAATAAACAGATAGTAGGGAGCACCAACCCTGAGGAATGTCTGTATTAGAATTGAAAGAAAGCGAGTATACAGAGGTCAACATTAATTTCCATCAATATCAGATGTGTCAGAGTCAATTACTGATATGGTACTGGAGGGAAAAACAGCCACCTACGGTCTGAGCACCAAATGAGCAATCCTTACAGGAAGAAACACTTGGAAACAAGGAGTCTGAATGCTTATCTCCCACTCTCTGTACCTTTGGCATTGGTGCTGTAAAAACAGCTCAGTCATCTGTAGGGAAACTGCTTTGGAGCTTATGGGTCACATGGGGAAATCAGTAGAATCTGTCAGATGGCCACGGCTTTCTAACTGAAAGGAAGTCCCTCATGAATTCTCTTCATTGTCACTACATAAACAACCCCCTTCAGTGTAATCTGAATTAACTGTTAAACAAAGCGTCTTAGTTCTGTTTTCCATATGACCTTTGTCTAAACATATGGTCTTACCTGAACGGTTGCGTTCTAGTACCCTGCTCCCTTTGACGTGGCACAGGTCACCTTGAGTACTGTTGCAGGTGGTGTTGAGATCAGCTTTGCAGTAGGTGGGGGACCCTCCCTGCACTGCTTGAGGGATATGTTTCTTCCTCTTTTTGGGTAACTTCTGCTTGGCCATAGCCAGAGAATAGTACATCCCAAAGTTATTGACGATAACGGGCACAGGCATGGCTATCGTCAGCACACCAGCTAAAGCACATAATGCGCCCACGACCATACCTGACCAGGTCTCTGGATACATATCACCATATCCCAGTGTTGTCATGGTTACCACGGCCCACCAGAAGCCGATGGGGATGTTCTTGAACTTAGTGTGGAGGGTAGCCGTGGGATCATTGGGCTTGGCGCCGATTCTTTCGGCATAGTATATCATTGTGGCAAAAATTAACACTCCCAATGCCAGGAAGATGATGAGCAGCAGGAATTCATTGGTGCTAGCCCGTAACGTGTGGCCCAGTACTCTAAGTCCCACAAAGTGTCGTGTTAACTTGAAGATACGCAGAATACGAACAAAACGAACCACCCTGAGGAAACCCAACACATCCTTGGCAGCCTTTGAAGAAAGGCCGCTCAGCCCAACCTCCAAGTAGAAAGGCAAGATAGCCACGAAGTCGATGATGTTAAGAAGACTCTTAAAAAACTCCAACTTGACTGGGCAGAAGGTCACACGCACCAGGAACTCAATGGTGAACCAGAAGACACAAACACCTTCCACATACGTAAGAGCAGGATCCGTTTCGATCTCATACTGTGGACCTGAGTCGGTCACGTTGCTGTCCCGCGCCACATCAGTCTTGTTGATGATTTTGTTGAAAGCCTCATGAGTCTCCAAACAGAAGGTGGTAATGGAAACCAGGATGAAGAACAAAGACACGAAGGCAATAAACTAAGAGAAAGAAGACAAAATAGAGAAAAACACATTATCGCCATTACATTTCATTTCAACCATGGCTTCCTATACTATTTAGGATAGATTTGACACCAAAATCCTTCAATAAGTGTTCTCATGAGAAAGGGTCAAACTACAACAGGTTTATTACATTTGCATCATTTTGAAGAGCGGAGACTCAATCTGGGAATGCAGATCCAGTCTAGTAAAGCAAGAAAGGCCCAGTAGAGAAAGGTGACGGGGAATCTCTTCATTTGTTTTTGCATATTGAGTTACACACCCGCTCTCAAAAACATACTTCATTCTGACCTCATAGTTTAGCTGCTGTTACTATATTAGTCTAGAGCCAATAGCTCAAAGCTTACAGGGCAAATTAAAAAGGCTATTCTGCTGTAGGATGTTCAAACCCTGATCTCTAATACATCTGGGCATGTCTATTAGCAACACGTTATAAAAAATGATCATCTTAATTATAGATCGACTGACTTTGGCCTTATTTCTGTCACTTATGTTAGTGCTAAGCAATCGTCTTTGGAGTAAGATGTGACGTATGGCAACTGGGAAAATGCCATACCTTATCAAACCCTGTAAGATGCAGTATTATTTGAAAGGTCAATAGTAAACTGCTATGCTATAATAGGTTAACTGGCACCCAGTTGCAGACTTGTTCTTAACTCATTCACTGGTAGCGTACCTTACTGGACATCCTTGAGCAGATAGAAATTTGTTGCACAGTGGTAAAGTCTAAATCTATAGATCTACGATAAAAATATCATTGACATCAGTTTGGCATTAGCAATCTATTCATTTTCCCAGAGGGAGTCTGCATGTTATTAAAGTAACATCGATAATTTCCCAAGCTATTTTACTTCATGTTTTTGACATATTTTGCAAATCCTTAATGGAAACAGCTTCCTGAGCTCAAATCCAGACATTGAGCTGCTGTGGAAGAAGACATGCTCAACCCTCTCTAAGAGCTAGATGGAGCAGATTTACAGCCTGGCTGCTTCTCCACCATCCTCCCACAGTCCCTCCACTGGTGCGCTCTACCTACTGTGCTCTAAAGAAGTCGTTTCACACTCTGCCTTGTTTTGGATTGCATGACTCACACGCTCTCATAAATATCATTGCCACTATTTGGGTTACTGTGATCCTGAACTGTGTGTGTGCATTCACTCAAGTGCCTCTCTTTATGTATCTTTACTACCCTGTAAGTGTTTTTGTTCATACACCTTCAATGGCACAAAGTTAAAGCCTCAGCACAGTGTGTGGGGATAAGTCGGTATCACTAAACACCATGTACTGTGGATTACTCAGTTTATATGTATTTGAGATTGTTGAATATATAGTATATGTAGATAGATATGCAGAAAGTGCTGTAAAAAGTTTGACAGAGACAATATAACAAGGCTGTTCAGTTCCCACCTCTGACATTGGGCTATGAGTTTATTTTTCCTCTACTACAGACTGATCCAAGCTGTAGGCGAAGGTAAACAAGACGCCATTGCTGCAGTGGGATGTCACTTCTGAACTAACACAATAAATCTCTGCAGTACAGTGCACTGCATGTGAAGGATTTTACTCTGATTTTGCTAAGAAATTAAACAAATCATCGGACTCAATCTGAATGCAATCAAATTCTGATACCTGCTGCAAAAATAAACATCATTCAGAAGAATAATGCTCCCACTCGAGGGCCGTGGCTGAGTCTGTCCAAACTGTTTGAAGGATTCCAAAATGCAAGATCTAAACAACTGAGACGGGTTTTCACGTCATGCACAGTTTGAATACAAAATATAAGCATAGTTTTTGAGAGCTGAATGAGTAAAAAGTTTGTTTTTGTGGTTTAGAGCAGCGGTCTCTAACCCCCGGGCTACGGACCAGTACTGGGCCGCGCGAGAGTTGAGGCTCAGGTGTGAAATTCATGGGTTTTAGGTTTTTATCGGTTTTTAGCGTTATTTTTTTAATCATTTTTATCGTTAACTCTGTTTCCCTGGGTCTTTTCCTGTGTGTTATGAATACATTCTTTGGTACCGGTACTGGTTTTATTTTGTTATATTTATCTGCGACACCTGAAAGGCCGGTCTATGAAAATATTGTTGGACATAAACCGGTCTGTGGCGCAAAAAAGGTTGGGGACCGCTGGTTTACAGGGTTTACAAGTGTGCTTATCAGCCACAACCACAACAGGCAACATGACAAATACTGATCACGTTATTAGAATGCAATGTATTGCTAGAAATCTAAGACTACTGCTGTATGTGTAGATATTATTTTTACATTTAACCCTACCAAAGACAGGCACCAACCCATGGTAGCAGCCTGTGCCTGCAAGACACTGCACCCCGCCAAGGTGTTGACCCAGCTTTGAAACTGCAGATTTGAATCTGATGGAGCATATGTGGCATGCACTGTAACATGCTAACCAGCAGGACCAAACAATCCTTTGCCAGCACCACAGGATGCCACCATAGCTCCAGTTTGCATGCCCCGATAGGTCAGAGCTCCTGTGGAAGCTCTTTTAAATTTTCACAGTGTTTGTTTGTTTTGTTTGTTTTGTAGTCGCTTCTTTGTGTACATTAAACAGAAAAATGGAAAAATTCACTACTTCAAAATTCATTCTTTTTTCCTGTGTTTCTTTTATGATGTCTTTATTTCACCTTCCCTGCTGTCTCCATCTCTGTCTTATCATGACATTGGCTGAAACGAGCAGCCTGAGCTGTTTCCTGTAGCTGTGTGGATGCTGCGCGAACTAATGACTAGTTCTGTCTCATGCTGGGATGTAATTCTGATGTGTTCACGTCTGTAGAGAAAGGATGTAGCATACAGCAGCCTTTAAAAGCTGGATCACATCACAGTACAGCAGCTGGACCTGAGCTCACACTCACATGCTGGTGTAGCACTGATGCCCCTGTTTACACACACAGCCTCACAAGGTTATTTATGGTAGGTGTTAAAAATGCAAATGTGCTAACTTATCATGTGATTGCAGCACATGCACTCTGCATGATGAAGAAGTCCTGTGCTTCTATGAGTCGCTGTTTAAAGCCAGCACAGGGAGCACCACACACACACACACACACACACACTGTTCAGTCGATTTCTGAACAATGCAGATCTAATTTAGCTGGAGGACGAGCTCCCTTTGTGTGGCATGCTTCTTCAGAGAGTTTTTCAGACACAGTGATAACGGCTGCTGAGGAGCTACGACCTGTGACCTTCATGTACGGCTGCCACGTCACGTGCACATGGGGTAGAGAGTGTAGATTTGACAGTAGAAAAAGTATGTCCACCAATACTGCTGACAAAAACTATTTGCTTATTTGTCACTATAACAAGGCAGCCCTTAGCAGCTGGATTTACAGTGAGAAACGGGACAATTTTAGTGGAACAAACTTATATTTATTTGCCATACAGCTCTCCTTAAAAACAATTCACTCTTGAGCTTCTTCACAGCACAATCAACCCTCTCTAATGAGAGCTGGCGGCCTTAAATACCTTCAGCTGTCACAGACTAAACCATTATTCCACTCACAGGTGAATTCTTAAATTCCAACCTCCCACCTCAGTATACAATATACCAATTTGAATAAATAAATAAATACATACATTTCACATTTAATAAATATTATAGACTTTAATCCTACACCAAACCCAATATTATAAAACCCCAAAAACCCAAGCACAAAGGATTCCCCACACTCCCTTAACCCATGGTCTCTCCCGGAACCTTTAAATGGTGTCTGGACCCCGGGGAAACATTTGCCCAAACACCTTGGAGAGAACACAGGTTTCCTTACTGGTAAAAGCTTATGTTCTCTCAATCACCATTCCTTTCTCCTCACAGACACCACCACGTTCCTAGATGAAGAGCAGCTGTACAGGATCTGAAACAAGGCTAGCAACTGATTTTGAAATTCCCAGTAAATATTCAATTAAACTTCTTGTGTGCAAATGTTTAACTGTGCAAATCCATGCTGAAAGTGCGATGCTAAATGAAGTGCTTGATAAGGTGCCTTTAATAAAGTGCAAGGTGTTCTCTAAAGTGCTATACAGATTATAATATAAATAATAGTAAGGCAGTCCTCTTCCTTACAGTCACACGTCGATGTTTCAGTTCATTAAACACATTATAAAATTAGACAAAGTAAAAAAAGAACCCAAGTAAATACAACATGCAGTGTTTCAAAGCTGTTCCCTTAATAAAGTAGTTTGAATAACTTTTCACTTAAGCTGGATTTTGATTTTCCTCGGGTTATCTTTGTCTAATTATATTTTTTGTCTAATTCTTGTGCTGATCAATTAAAAAACATTAAGTATGAAACATTCTTCATTATGTGTGAAGAGAGAATGGGGGGGACAGTGGCTCCTTTTCTGCCATCATGTTGGATAAGTGTGAGAAAATGGATCGATAGATTATTTAGATTTTATTTTACCAGTTTACCAGTCCAGTTAATCAGGAGGGCTCTACTACAGAACACTGCATGAAAAACAAATTAGAAATATGGCCTTTTTTTAATCTCCTGCATTGAAAAATGCCCCTCAAAAAGGAAACATCCATCAGTTCTACTAAAGGACCAGAGCTGTTGTATCAGTGAACTCTAACATGGTCTCTATGATTGAATGCACTCTTGGTCTAAACACGATGAATCTCAAAGGTGCCTCTGAAGCTGATTTGGTGTTTTTAACACACTAACAAAAAAAAAAAAACATCATCACTGTGTTGTTTGCTCTGTTTGTCCAGTGGATTTATTCTGCAGACTGAATTGAGCATCTTGGTCTCCAAGGGCAACTAGCACAGCAATAACCTTTGGCATTGCTTTAAGCATGACTGAAATCTCAAGCATATCTTTCTCTCCCCTTACAATATATATGCAGCTGTTTGTTCTTACTGAATATCAACAAGTGGCTTGGAAAAAGATGAGACCTTCATGTTGCTCAGGCGCTGATTTTGTGTTATTTTATTGTGTCTGAGCTGAATGCTTTCATATCACTGC